GTGCCTAGAAGGCCATAATGGTGCAAAATGAAAACCTATGGCTTTGTGTAACTAAAAGGCAGGCTTGTTCCACCCGCTGGCTTGAATAGTTTTAGGCAATTTTTGGACATTTTCCCAAGGCACCCCTGAAAAAAAACCTCAAGGCACTCCAGGCTGCCTGGGCACCCTGGTTGAGAAAGGCTGGAATAGATGACCAAAAACCTATATGGAACAGAGAAAAGCTGTGTCACCCAGTACAGACAGTACATAAGGCAAGAGAGAACACAAATGCCACTGAATAGTGAAGTGCTTTTTCCAGAACACTGGAATGTGGCAGTAGTCATGGTGTTGTGCAATTCATTTTTGACAGTGTTATAAGAAAAAAATAAATCTCTTGGCTGCTGTTATAGCTTCCATTTCCCTATTTCATTAAAGCATTATTTGCTTGAGTTAAAGCGGTATTAAACCCAGAACCAAAAATTAACTGTATTGTAGCTTTTCAATCATTAGATGTGATGGCTGCATTTGTTTTCTTTTAGGCTTTTTTTTTTACTTTTCACCTGGTGATCTGACCAGTAACACACCCCATGTATTAGACTGCCTAAACTCATGATGGAGCACAAGGGGCACATTTGTACAGCAGCATTGTCAGTCTGGGTGGAGGGAAGTATTAGAGGTACTAGCAAATTTAAATTCATTAACAAATTGTAGCCAAACTCCAGCTAAAACCTTATAATCAGTTACAGCAGTGTTTTCCTTTTGGTATAGAGGTTTTACATAAATAAAACTAATCACTGTTAGCACCCCTGCCAGTGTTGAATGGTTTGTCTTATCCCTGTAACTGATACATCTTGCAGGCGAGTGTGTTCTTTTGAAAAACAATAGACTTAATGGCCAGATCACCAGGTGAAAAATAGAAGCCTAAAAAAGAAAAGTAATGCAGCCACCACATCTAAGAATTTGTAAGCTGCAATATAGGTTTGCTTTTGGGTTTAATACCGCTTTAAGTGGCTTAACCCTATCATAACCTGAGTTAATTGAAGCCTAGATGCCCAGGCTAAATTTAGCAGCAATAGAATTCATGTAACGGTGACTAAATTTCCCTGCCTAAATCATTTTTCATTTTTTAAAGACTTATAACAGACTTTTATTTGGTACTGTTTTAATAAACGCCATGTTTACATGTTTTTATTAAAGGCTCACATCATGAACAATGTTTAAAAAATAAATATATTATAGAAATAATATGAAATTTTATTTTACATAAGTGTGAATGAAGGCTAAATAGTCACTGTGTAGATACTCACTCTTCTAAATCGGAAGTGATTTTCCTTTGCTTTTGTGTTATCAAGTGACAATGTCCCTAATTTATTAAAACTGAATTTAATAAAAAAATTAAGAAAAAAGAAGATAATTATTTTTTTTCATATTTACTAGTCTTTTGAAACATTATTGTTGGTTAAAGTAGAATGAATATTTCTTTATAACACCATAGACGGTGAGATAAATGTCTCACCATAAAATAAAAAATTTAATTGTTTATACAGATTCATTGCAACATAGAATAGCCAAATGGTGTTTTTTTTGTTTGTTTTGCATTTTTTTTTTTTTTTTTTTATGCGGGTGGAGAAACAATGTAAAGTAAGTTTAATTTATGAAGACATGCTGAGCATATATTAATTGGCTAGTACTGCACAAATAGAAGAACTTGTCTACATGTGTAAAGCTTCCCTACTGTTAAAGAAACAAAAGTGAACCATATTCTGTAACAGAACACTGACTAAGGTGTGCTGGAGTGTTAAAGTATTACTAAACCCACAACAGTAAAACCAGTGGGTATATACAGTAAAGCATGCTTGGTATACTCACTGTGGAACCTAAGGGGTTAATACTCTGCATTGGGCAAAAAGGATGTTTGATCTTGTCTTCTCTGTTCCTCCCCTTCTTTTACTCTCCCCAATCCATCTGCTAATAGGACAGAGCCTTGGCAGCTAGCTGCACATGCTCAATTCAGTGTGTATTTATAGAGGTGGGGTTTTTTTGTTTTCTTGGGAGAGTGCAAGTGATCAGCATAGGGCAAATCAGTGCTGTCCAGAAAGGGGGTCAGGGGTCCTGCAGCCTCATAGGACAGCCAGCGGAGAATGAAAACTCCTACAAGCTTTAACCAGTGCACTGCTGAACACTGATAGAAGTCGCAAGACTGCTCTAACTGCTGATGAGAAAAAGTGTTTAGATTTACTAAAATAATTGCATTTCAGTGTTCTGTAGGAGACCAGCTATAGTGAATGCAGGGTTTAGTAACTCTTTAAATGACACAAGAGCTTTCAGAGACTATAGGAATCAGATAATTATATAGAACTTGAATAAATTGAAACCAGTAGTGAATTTGGAGGTTGCCATTGCTGAGCTCCTTTGAAAATACAATTTATATGGCTGTGCCATAATTTTGGGGTCACTTATTTGGAAAAAGCATGCAGCAAGTAAAGTTGGCTCTCCTGATCTACTTGTTCTCAAACATCTACTCGATGCCCTCAAAACAAGTGTGGTCTATTAAGAAATCCAGCACTTCCTTGTGATGGTGAGTGTTGGCCTGCTCCCACCCATGCAGATTGGCCAGTAAAGCTTGTAACAGACTATCATGATACATCTGCTGAATGCTTTATCTCGTGTGCTTTTGCTTCAGGCCAATGTGCTTAGTTATACCTATGGTATAAGTGTACAGATATAACCAGCTTCCCTTGAAGGAAAAAAAAACACCATCTGACTGATCATCTCTTCCTTATAAAAAGGCTTTTGCAGCCAGGTAGGTCCTACAGGTGAACATTCTCTACTATCTGTATGAAAATAAAGGCAACATAATAGGATGGTAATAAAATGTGTGGAACAGTGTGGGCAAGCTTTCCATATCTCTTAAGACATGCCTACATTTCCATATTGGAATACCCTGTGTTTCAGGGGCCCCAGAACAACTTAGAAGACATTTAAAAGTACAGTGTATGTAAACCCTCACCTTGTAAAACAACCCATTCAATTTAAAATTGAAATGAAAGGTAAGGGGAGGAGAAAGCAGAACACTGATCTTCCCAGTGAAAGGCTGTGCGAGGGGAGGTGATTTTGGGGGCACACATCAGGACAAGTTTGATCATTGGAGAAGAGCACAGAGTTCTCAGCACAGCTAGAAAATTGACCACTGTATGTTCTCCTGCTTACTGTGGTCAGTTTCTAGTGGAAAGCAGAGGGACGAGTAGATCACCATGTATTTCACACAGAAGCAATACAAAGAGACCAGGATAGTTTTTCATACAAGTACAGCAGGCACATATCAGGAATATATAATTTTGGGTTTATAAATTTTTGAAAGTATGTGTAAGCACTGGTGCAATTAACCTACTGCCTAATATATTTTAAAGGCTTTAAAAAAAAAAGCTGCTTGATGCCCACATTGAAAAAAATCTAATAGTGTTCACAGAAGTGTTAACAAGCTATGATTAACCCCTTCACACCCAGTCCCCCTTTAACTGGGTCTTTAAGCCTGGGAACATCTGCTCAATCATGTAGCCATTGTAATTGGTTGTCATACTGGTCACATGATCAGAAGCTAGTCCCGCTGGCTCCTAATCATTACTTTAGCAGGAAAACCTCAGCAGTCCATGGGCATTAAAGCCCAATTCCTTTACCGCAGCACATATACGTAAACATAGGTGAAAAAGAGGTTAGTACCCTTGTGTATAGTGCTCCTATGCACTTTGTAAATTCTTGCTAAAGTGTTCAGACTAGCATTTATATGTTTTCAGCCTGAACTATGAGTTATAGACCAAGCCAGTCAGTACTCAAGTCTAGAAAAAAAACTGTCTATGCACATTTGTGTTATTTGCAACTGTTTTTTTTTTTTTCTTTTTAACCACTTCAAGTCCGGACACTTTTACCCCCTTCCTGTCCAGGCCAATTTTCATCTTTCAGGGCTATCACACTTTCAATGACAATTGCGCGGTCATGCAACACTGTACCCATATGAATTTTTAGCATTTGTTTGAGACAGATAAAGCTTTATTTTGGTGGTATTTATTCACCACTGGGATTTTTTATTTTTTTGCTATGTAAATGATAGTCCAAAAATTTTGAAAAAAAAGTGTTTTTCTTATAAAATTTTGCAAATAAATAATATTTCATCATAAATCTTGGCCAAAATATATTCTGTTATCTTTTTAGTAAAAAAAAAACCCAAATTAGTTTATAACCAAAAATTATAATTTTTAAACATTTTTTTTACATTATTATTTATGTTTTTGTTTTTTTACATACTGTCACCCTAGCAGTACAGTGTCACCATTGTGACATTGTACTACTTGTGGGGGGTGATGAAGATTTCTTTTTTCCCCACTGATTGCTTTTACACCCATAAAGGCTGTAAAAGCAATCATTTTTCCTTCTCTCTAGCTGCATTCTTGCAGCCATTGAGAACTACTGTGTGAGCTGTGATTGGTCACAGCTTGTCACATGGTACAAGGCAGTTGTGAATAGCCTTGTACCATGTGACCTCTGTGATCATTCACAGATTTCACACATAGTAAGCAATGATGTCAGAAGTGACATCTTGCTTACTACTCTGCATGTGATCACTGATTGGCCAATCAGTGATCACATGATCGGGCTCTCTAACAGAGTTCCCATACGACGATCGGTGTTCCACTGTGTCTGGAGGACACAGCGGGCACCGGATTGCGGTGCTGTGTGCTCCCAGGGAGCGCGCACAAGCTGGGGGCGGGGAGGCCATTTATAAAAGCAGCCACCCGACCCTGCACTGCCACCATCCAGCCGTTTATATACAACGGCCGGACGGGAGGTGGGTTAAGCAATAGTACAGCGGTTCTCAACCTGGGGGTCGCGACCCCTTTGGGGGTCGAACGACCATTTCCCAGGGGTCGCCTAAGACCATCGGAAAACACATATTTCCGATGGTCTTAGGAACCGAGACACCGCTGCAGTCTCCGGCGATGTGTGGGCGGGATGATACGCTGCTGTCACCCGGCCACACCTCCAAGATCGCTCAGCAGCTCCGCCTCCTCGCCGCTGATTGGCCACCGGAACTGTAGCTCAGGAGAGGCACACAGGCGGCCAATCACCGGCGAGGAGGTGGAGCTTGGAGAGGAGGAGCCAAGCGGCAGCGCGCGGACATCAAAGAAGACCGAGGGAGCGAGTGAAGAGGAGAGCGGCCAGAGAAGGAAGACAGCTGACAGGTAAGTGAGAGAGCGACCCCAGGCTGGAGCAGGGGTCAGCAAGGTAAGTATCATTGGTGTCAGTGGGAGGAATAGTGCCCCATCATTTGTGTCACTAATACCAACGATGGGGCACTACTCCTCCCCCCACTGACACCAACGATGGGGGGGCACTACTCCTCCCCCCACTGACACCAACGATGGGGCACTACTCCTCCCCCCACTGACACCAACGATGGGGCACTACTCCTCCCCCCACTGACACCAACGATGGGGCACTACTCCTCCCCCCCACTGACACCAACGATGGGGCACTACTCCTCCCCCCCACTGACACCAACGATGGGGCACTACTCCTCCCCCCCACTGACACCAACGATGGGGCACTACTCCTCCCCCCCACTGACACCAACGATGGGGCATACTATCTCCTCCCCCCCCACTGACACCAACGATGTGGCACTACTCCTCCCCCCACTGACACCAACGATGGGGCACTACTCCTCCCCCCACTGACACCAACGATGGGGCACTATTCCTCCCCCCACTGACACCAACGATGGGGCACTATTCCTCCCCCCACTGACACCAACGATGGGGCACTATTCCTCCCCCCACTGACACCAACGATGGGGCACTATTCCTCCCCCCACTGACACCAACGATGGGGCACTATTCCTCCCCCCACTGACACCAACGATGGGGCACTATTCCTCCCCCCACTGACACCAACGATGGGGCACTATTCCTCCCCCACTGACACCAACGATGGGGCACTATTCCTCCCCCCACTGACACCAACGATGGGGCACTATTCCTCCCCCCACTGACACCAACGATGGGGCACTACTCCTCCCACTGACACCAACGATGGGGCACTACTCCTCCCACTGACACCAACGATGGGGCACTACTCCTCCCACTGACACCAACGATGGGGCACTACTCCTCCTCCACTGACACCAACGATGGGGCACTACTCCTCCCACTGACACCAACGATGGGGCACTACTCCTCCCACTGACACCAACGATGGGCACTACTCCTCCCACTGACATCAGTGACGGGGCACTATTCCTCCCACTGATACCAATGACATGGCACTACTCCTCCCACTGCAAAATTACAGTTATGAAGTAGCAATGAAAATAATTTTATGGTTGGGGGTCACCACAACATGAGGAACTGTATTAAGGGGTCGCGGCATTAGAAAGGTTGAGAACCACTGCAATAGTAGAACTATGCATACAATCCAGCAATCTGAGAGCTCAATCCACAACTAGGTATATAGCTCAAAGAAGTACACAAAACATTTCAGCTTCTAAAAGAACACTAGAATAGGAGCCATACCAGATGGGAGAGGAGTACAAGGGGAATAAAAACATCTCTCTCGTGCCACCATCATAAAGAGGGAGTATGCAATCCCACAAGCTTGGCAGTAACTCACATTGCTCCATCTAGTCTGAGCAAGGTCCCCTGGCACACCCTCCTAACCAAGTGAAGCAGGTAAATATGGGGGAAGAGCAAAGCCATACTTGTCAATCAATTTGTCTGCAGGTAACCTAAGGAGGTTGTCCAGTTTCTATAGAATTGTGCTGGGCAGACCCTGCTCTCATGTTGCCTTACAGGGGCAAGGTTTGGTTTGCCAGTGACTTTCAAAACGAAAGCATGGGTGTTTCTTTTTTTTTTTTCCCCTCTATAATGGCTTTACAAGCACAACAGAGCAGTAATTCCATCAATGTTTGAGCCGCCTTAGTCGGCGCCAGTGGCTTGATCAATCTCCACAGGCAGATTGTTATTTATGAAGAATGGTAGCTCAAATAGCAAATAAAAGTATATACAGGGAATATAATAAAGTCCTAGCAACATTTTTCTGACACTAGATTCCCTAAGAACTGCCTGCGCCTAATTCAGGCAAGCTATATCATGTTACCAATGGAAGGCTCTGCAGCAAAACCTGCTCCTATGCAGCAGATTTTAAAACAAGTAGAATTTTTTTTTTTTTTTTTTAATAAATCATAGCTTTTAAAGTAAATTTTATTTAGAGAAAACTATGGATGCTACCCTTAGTAGTTTCCTTCTGAAAATTCCAGTAACTTAGCCATTTATCTGCACCCCCTCCCTCCCCCCCACTGGAATCAGTGCTCTTTGCATCACAGACCTGGTGGTACTAAGCAGATCAGAAAGCTGAGAGACCCTGAATTCCTTATTTGTATTTTTGTGTAAGTAACAAAGTATTGAAGCCAGAGGGTCAGGTAACAAAAATTGGAGATTGAGTGAGAAGTCAGCAACTGCAGCCTTCACATTTTCCTCTGGAAACCTTACCAATAAGGTATGCCCCAGGAGGTCCTCTACAATTTGTTTCTATGAAAAAGGGACTCATACCACCTCCATTCAGATATTGTATGTGGATAACAGAAGTTTCCCAAAAGTAAAAGTAGTTTGAAAGAGGTTACAACAGGAGGAATACATTTCCTTACAAAGAGCTAGGTTTACAACTTCTAATCTATTTGGAAAACAAACTCTTTGTTCTAATGTTTATAGCCAAAAATGATTTAGAGCATAGAACAGGCTGCACTTGGCTTCATAAGAAATTTAAATGTATTTGTAATTATCTCCAGTTGCTTACAAATAACAGGGTTCAACTAGTCTCTGTTTGCAAAAGTAAAAAAAGAAAAAGGGTTGGCTTAGTAATTGCAAGTATTAATATTTGTTAAAAATAGTAACAGTTCATATCACTGCATTCATTACTTGTGTTACTTCAGCAACATTTCATTAGAGAATAATTACAAATATAACTTAACATAATAATAAAAAAATAGGCTTTACATTTTACAAAAACATACAACATTTACATATACAGATCAAGACACACAAGATCTATAATAAACGTGTCTGTAAATGGTACTGTTATTTACAGGTTAAGAATGCTGAATCTACAGACATTATTGGAGGAATAGGGGTTTAAAAAAAAGCACAGATTCCATGAAAATAAACACATAGCCATATAGTCCATTGATGAAAGTGGTCATGTTTTGTTGGCTGAGGTAATTCACAGTCATGTACAAGAAGCCATTCATCATGAATGGCTGGAGGAGTTAGCAAAGAGCATTAGGATAGAAGAAAGGCACTGCAATTTGCTTTTGATGTAGTCTGGAAGTCTGTCATTTTCTCCATGTCTACAAAATAAAATAGAATAGTTACTTTAGAATACATTTATCTGCTCCCAACATAAGCATTCGACCACTTTTATTGGATATACCTAAAATTTAAAAGGTTCAGTTCACCTTTAACAAAAATAAATGCAAATGTTTTTGCAGGGTAAAAAAAAAAAAAAAAAGTAAACATTTTTTTTTTTCTACACGAAAGCCTGCAAAGTGATGCATCCACAATTAGTGGATCGCAGATGCAAGGTCAGGTTCCTGCAGACACTTTCTACAGCTCTCCATGGGCTTTCAGTTAATGAGCTGCAGGAAGTGTCATTGGATTATGAGCTTGCTGATCAGTGCGCTCATAGTCCTTTGAAAACTACAGATCTGTGTGCCGCAGATCTCTGTGAATGAATGATGCAGCTGTGCAGGCAGACCCCCAAATTGCTGTGCCGTGGGGGAGGAGGTAAAAGTTGGGGTGTTTAGCAGCACAATACAGGTGTAACATTTAGCTAAAGGTGGAGATAGCCTTTAACCACTTGCCCTCCTGAGGATTTACCCCCCTTCCTGACCAGGCCATTTTTTGCATTACGGCACCGCATTACTTTAACTGACAATTGCGCGGTCATGCAATGCCCCACCCAGATTAAATTTACGTCCTTTTTTCCCCTATGAATTGAGCTCTCTTTCAGTGGCATTTGATTGCCTGTGTGGTTTTTATTTTTTGCGCTATAAAGCAAAAAAAGACCGACAATTTTGAGAAAAAAAAAATATATTTTTGACTTTTTGCTATTAAACATGTCCAGTAAAAAAGTTTAAAAAAATCTAATTTCGTCATAAATTTAGGCCAAAATGTATTCTGCAAAGTCTTTGCTAAAAAAAAAAAAAATCCCAACACATGTAAATTAATTGGTTTACATGAAAGTTATAGCGTTTACAAATGGTGGTATATATACTGGGATTTTTTTTTTCTTCCTACTAGTAATGGCAGCGATCAGCGACTTTTAGTGGGACTGCGGTGGGCATTCTGACATTGGGGGGGAACTAACTTGGTGTCACTGACATCCCCAGTGACACCAATACAGTGATTCGGTGATTGACATCTGCAGCCGCGAATTGCAGCACGGGTAGGGCTCGCGTGCGCCCCCTACCCGGAAATGCAAAATCACGTATATATACACGTGATTTTGCGCGCCCGTACCACCGTGTAGCAGCATATCTGTTATACGGGTAAGCAGTTAAAGTGTACATCCAGCTAAAACTTCAGTTTACTTTAGCTTTGGATGAAGTACGGAAGCATTACAACCAATCAGGTTTTTATTTCTTCCTGGTGAAAATAGTTTCACTAGAAAGGAAGCAAAGAGAAATCTGCAACAGTAAACAGACAGAAATAATTTTTTTTTTTTTAAATAGACATGAAATAGAGGTAAAACCTCAAATCAGCCTCATATTGCTGTCTGTGTGCCTGCTGCAGATTTCCATTACAGTTCCTCCTTGCATTTATGGTGTGTTCATATAAATTGAGAGGATTGCAAACAGTCTATAAAACCATTTATATTACTATGCAAATCTGGAAGTAAATTCAGAATCAAAAATTACCTTAGAAAAAAAATTGTTCAAGATACACATGGACCTCTCACAGGACCCTTGTGTGCTTTGTAATATCAGATACAGTAAGTTACATTTTGCACTAGAGCATTGAAAAACTATACCAGCAGCATAAGAAGAAAAAAAAAAACACCAGATAATTGGTGATAGATTTGGAGTTCCTCCACAGGTTTTTTTTTTTTTTTTTTTTTTTTTTTTTTTTGACCTTCACCTCCTGCCATCACAGCTGCCACACATTCATGAACAAATCTCACTGCTAATGTTATTTATGAACACAATCTTGTTTACATACAAAAAAATATATAAACTTTGTTCATTTTTTCTTTAAAGCCAATGAACTTAGACCTTACTACTGCTTTAAGTTATATGGACAAACGACAAAAAAAAAAAAAAAAAAAAATGCTCTTTCACGTTAAGGGCATATAATGTGCTAGTACGCATCCCATAGTAGCCCATTATGGAAGACTTACCTAAAACGAAGCCCTCCAGCAGCACGCTGTAACTCCTGACAGGGCTTCCATCTTAACCTGATCTTCCTTCCAGGTTTGCAGACTTCTGCTGTTTGAATGGCCTAGTTGCGGTGACGTCACTCCCATACATAGATACAGGAGCCACGATCACAGCACAGCTCTCTGAAGAGACAGCATACTCAATATGCCATCCCTGCAGAGCGCATGCGCTGGCTACAGAAATAGTGAATATCGCATACATGGTGCATGTTTAGGAGATATACCTTGTAGATTTATTATAAGCATACCTGTAGATACAAGTCACAAAGCAGTGTTTACAGTATAATCACTCTACTCCAGTGGTTCTTAACCTGGGTTCGATCGAACCCCAGGGGTTCGGTGAGTCAGTCTTGCGGGTTCGGCGGAGGTGAAGACCCACACCCGACTCATATGATTCGTGCAGTAAATATTCATTATTATGTTTTTGTTTTTGTGTGAAAATCATGTTTTAATGGTTTTGTTCTTTGTTCTTAATGGTTTTGTTCATTTTGTGCACCTATGTATAAATATATACCTAAACATATACCTATGTTTTGAATTTGAAAAAATCATATTTTATTTTTCCAATTAAGAAGGGTTCGGTGAATGCGCATATGAAACTGGTGGGGTTCAGTACCTCCAACAAGGTTAAGAACCACTGCTCTACTCTCTTTTATAAGTGAGTTTTTTTTTTTATATATTTAAAAAAATTATTTTAAGCATTTTCCATACCTTGTTACTTGTCCATTTGGGTCCGTATAGATAATTGTAGAAACTCCTGGCTGGACTACAAGCTGAGAGCCATCGTTGAACTGCACCCATACAGCCCCTGTGTTTAGCTGTTTGCAAGAGAAAGAAATTAAACTCAACAAGAATCTTAAGAGGCATTTGCGTTCTATGGGTGGTTTAAAATGCCTTGGAGCAGTTCCTTAGCTATGTGGATGATTTTATAGATATCTAAATTTATTACCTTTGTTGCCTGATGCAAAGAAATTAAAGTCTATCTTCAGAATATGGCTACCCCCCCCCCCCCCCCCACTGATTGTTGAAGACAAGAAAGGAGAAAAATACCCTGACTAAATGCCATTTTTACTTACCTAAAGCTGCAAACACTTGGTGCTGCAGTCTGGAGAAATCTCTCTTCTTTTTTTACTTTATGTGGGGTCCTTCTTCAGATTGTTCAAGTCACTGCCTACACGACATGGACATTTCCTATTGACAGTCCCCTCAGGATCTAAGAGGAGTAATGTTGGCACAAAGGGACATGCCAGCAAGGGACCATTTTTGCATTAGCAGTCCCCGACACCGAAAAACACTGAGGGACCTAAATAAGGGACTTTCAGTAGCGGTTAGAGGGAGTAATGGAGGTCATATTTTGCCTAAAATGGGCTTTAATTAAATTATACTTGCCATGGACATTTAAACAGTGCTTGCCAGGCTTGGACAGATTCTTTCAACAAACTACAGAATTTCCCATTAATGCCCTTATGTACCTAAAGTATTTGTTCACAAAATGCACATGCCATTATAGCGATGTTAAAAGGTTACTTGCAGGAACAGGAAATGCACATGTGTGTTGTGCTTGACAAAACTTTAAAAATGCAATAATCCAATGGAACATTAGACAAAATTCCATCAGTATGAATCGATTTTTCCTTGCAATGGTAGTCTGTGAACAATTTTCCCACATGAACAACGTTTGTGCAGTCTTTATAAACTGGAATAAGAAAAATACTTACATATATTTTAATTAAACTGCTTACCAGGTGAAATTACTTAGGTTCAAATTCACTAAGCCAAATCAATAGTTTTCAGTAAGTTATGTTAAAAATTTACCTGAGATGCCCATCCCACGTTTTTAACAAATACAGATTTAATGACTTGGCTTGGATCCGGAGTGTGGGTTTTAGTGGTAGTGGAGGTAGTGACAGTCTGAGCAGAAAATACAGATCCTTCATATGACAGCATCTAGTGCAAGAAATAAAAATCAGAACTGAAAAAAAAAAAAAAAATAGTAACTAGATTGCAGTTATAGGGCATTTAAAGTGGAGCTCTATCACAGTAAGGTCTTGTGCTGTCTATAATCCCACTGGGGAAATTTCCCCTTAACTTGATCAGAATAGATGCAAGTGAAACTCTTCCACAACATTTTGGGACACAGAGAGCCAAAGGTAAGTTTCTGTATCATGGCGACATCAGCTATTCTGCACAGTGATTCAAGTTCAGTACTCTTACATAACCTTGCATGCTTTTGGGCTGTCCCTCTGCTAAAGGTACAGGCCGACTTTGCCGCATTGAGGGACGAATGGACAGGGCTATGTATTGTAAAATCTTGGATGAGAATCTTCTTCCCTCAGCCAAAACACTGAAGATGGGTCGTGGATGGGTGTTCCAGTATGACAATGACCTAAAACATACCACCAAGGTAACAAAGGAGTGGCTCAAGAAGCACATTGAGGTCATGAAGTGGCTTAGCTAGTCTCCAAACCTTAATCCTATAGAAAATGTATGGAGGGACCTGAGACTTCAAGTTGCCAAGCGACGGCCAAGAAATCTTAAACGATTTAGAGAAGATCTGTAAAGAATAGTGGACCAAAATCCCTCCTGAGATGTGTGCAAATCTGGTAACCAACTACAAGAAATGTCTTACCTCTGTTTTTGCCAGCAAGGGTTTCTCCACCAACTACTAAGTCATGTTTTGCTTGGGGATCAAATACTTATTTTACTCACTGAACTGCAACTCCGTTTATAACATTTGTAACGTGTGTTTTTTCTGGATTTTTGTTTGATATTCTGTCTCTATCATTTAAAATACATTTTAGTTTAGCTGTAAAATGCAGGAGACAGAATATCAAACAAAAATCCAGAAAAAACACACGTTACAAATGTTATAAACAGAGTTGCAGTTCAGTGAGTAAAATAAGTATTTGATCCCCAAGCAAAACATGACTTAGTACTTGGTGGAGAAACACTTGCTGGTAAGCATAGAGGTCAGACATTTCTTGTAGTTGGTTGCCAGATTTGCACACATCTCAGGAGGGATTTTGGTCTACTATTCTTTACAGATCTTCTCTAAATCCTTAAGGTTTCTTGGCCATCGCTTGGCAACTTGAAGTCTCAGCTTCCTCCATCAAAAACTGGTGTGAATTGGCCTAAAAACTGAAATCTGTAGGAGTGCTCTACTAACTGTTTAGATATGTACTCCTCTACATGCACAATTCTACTTACAGAGGGATTGATGTTTGGCATCTGGTTGGGAGAGGATGTGCTGCTTAAAACCTTGTTGGTGGAGTCTTGATCCTTGTGTCCGCATCCTGTTTCCCCAGTAGATGTTGGCTCTATAAGGGGCTTTGGAGAATCTATAATTATTGGTCTCCTGCCGAATGTAAAAAACAGAAGATCCACTTAGAGAAGCGTTTCTCCACTCAGTTTCACAACGTATGGCTGCATGCTATGCTTGTAGGCATTAATCTGTTGCACTGTATGCATAATGTACTGGAATAATAACAATAATAACAATAGATAAGTTTGTCCTTGATGGTCACCAAAAATACAATTGCATGCTTTGTAATATTGAATTTACTGTGATGACTTTGGACAAGGGGACTCTGGGGAACAAATCAATGTAATTTAAGTAGTGCCAGATATTAGGTGTGCTACATACACCCAACAAAACTTCATCACTGTACACAGGATATGTGTATCATGTCCAGTCTCTCTGCCCTGCTTCTGGGACCCTGCTTTCCAGTGTACAATAATTGTCCGTTTTGATTAGGAAAAACCCAGCATTATGGTATACTCAGAGGTGTCAGCAGCTGCAAAAAAAAAAAAAAAAAAAAAAAAGCAGACTATAGAAAAATACAATGTAACATAATGTTACTTTTGTATCTTTTTGTTCATCCTTCTGCAGGCCAAAAGGAATGAACCTAGATCAGCAAAATGATATCAGTTAACCACTTGCCCTCCTGAGGATTTACCCCCCTTCCTGACCAGGCCATTTTTTTTTTGCATTATGGAGCTGCGTTACTTTAATTGACAATTGCACGGTCATGCAACGCTGCACCCAAATGAAATTTATGTCCTTTTTTTCCTAGGAATTGAGCTTTTTTCGGTGGTATTTGATCGCCTGTGTGGTTTTTATTTTTTGTGCTATAAAAAAAAAAAAAAAAAAGACTGACAATTTTGAGGTAAAAAAAACAATATTTTTGACTTTTTGCGATTAAACATGTCCAGTAAAACAAAATTCAAATAAACCACATTTCATCATAAATTTAGACCAAAATGTATTCTGTTACATGTCTTTGCTAAAATAAAATCCCAGTAAGTGTAAATTAATTAGTTTACGTGAAAATTATAGCGTTTACAAATGGCGATATATATACTGGGATTTTTTTTTTTATTTTTTGTTTTTACTAGTAATGGCAGTGAACAGCGACTTATAGCGGGTCTGCGGTGGGCATTCTGACACTGGGGGGAACTGACTTGGTGTCATTGACATCCCCAGCGACACCAATACAATGATCAGTGCTTAAAAAAAAAAAAATACGAATGGCAGCACGTGTACCTTTGTGTACCTACGTGTATGCCCCCTACCTGGAAATGCGCAATCATGTATATATATGCGATTTTGTGCACTCGTGCCACCCTGTAGCAGTATTTCTGCTATAGGGCAGTCGGGAAGCTGTTAAACCAACCTGGCAAGTATAAAAATTTAAAAAAAAGAAATAATGAAAAAAAAAATAATTTTTTTCATTATTTCTTTTTTTTTACAATAAAATGTTCCTGTTTAACCCCTTAATAACCCTTAGCTTACACTAATCAGCCAGATTTATTCTCCTCCCTTCAACTATTACTTCCCTGCTGATTTTTTTTTTTTTGTTCATTAATATTTTTACATATTTAAAAAAGTGCAAAATTGAAAAAAATACATACTTCATTTCATTTGTAAATAAGTTTGCAATGCTTTATACCAGAATCATAATTTTAGTGTCATTTTAAAAAAGACAAACAGAATAAAATGTGCACTTTTTGTTTGCAGTAACATTATTCATTTTTAAATTAACAGTGCTCAAAAGAGAAAAAAGTGCATTTTGTTTAGTTTATTGCTTTTTATTGTCGAAGGATTGCAAAAAAAAAAAAAGAAGAAAAAACACAAACCAACCAAAAACAAAGCTTTGTTTGTCCTTAAATAAATAAAAAAAAAAACCCAAAAAAAAAACAATATGTATTACCTATAAACAGGTCCACAGCAGAAATGTAAAAATTGCCTGGTCCATAGAGGGTGAACAGGTGTGAGAGGTGAAGTGGTTAAACAGGTTTGGCCGTCAGCAATTTCATAGTCTACTTGCCCCTGCTTTTAGCCATCAGTGTATAAATAAGTCTAACATGCGTTTATTCTATTTTAAGATGTCTTGTGCAATTTTTTGCACAACTATAAAGAAATGTGTCTTACCTCCCAAACGTCACAGGGAACAAAGAAAGATCATCACCTTTTTTCTCCTCAACATTAACAGCTGATTCCAAGGAGAGACAAACCTGGTGGCTCTGCAATGTATGTAGTAGTAACCAAGATTAAATAATGCTACTATAAAACTGGAAATATACTGCTGATATCTATGCATGGGATCTCTACCCTAAAATTACCCTAAACAGCAAGATGCCATCCAGCAATAGTTTTTTTCCCCTTTATTTTAAACTGCTGTACCTGGCAAAAACACACTTCTTGTTTTAAGGTGACAAAGCTAACTCAGTACATTGTATCTATTAATGATTAGCATTATTAATGAAAAGACAAGACTACCAAACACCCCACAACCCTCCCGTTCATTATCATTTGGGGAGGAGTTTGTAGTTTATTGAAAAAAAAAAAAAAAAAAAAAAAAAAAAAAACACAGCTGTTATTGTGTGAGATTTCAAATCAGTACATAGGAAGTTTAGAGCTCACTGAAGTTTTGGCAGGATCAGCTGGTATTTCTCTGCACTTGCAAAAAAATATACTAAAAAGCGAGGACTTTTCTGTTTCAATATTTGTATTGAAAAAGTTTTGATTTTAAGAATATAACAAGCTCAAAATACGCCCTTGCAGGGGCAGAGCAGAACAATAACATATAAACAGAGACATCCTGCTGACTTGTATTAGTCAAATAACGAAATGTCCAATGACATCAAGAAGGGACGGCAAAAAGCCGAGCCAAATAGCAGCAGTAATTCAACATATAAACGGTAAAGCCTCCTGCGCAGCTGTTTCTAATTTACTATAATGAGCTGCTGCTGACACCCAATCCTCTCCTTCTTAGATGGATTAATAATGAATCAATATATACATGGTGTAGCGCTGCGGAGACTTATAAACACATATCCAAAGTGCATAACCTTATTGTGAACCAGATAAAAAATACTTATGCAATGTAACGTAAAACAAGCATAGATATTAGGTGATTATGACACTCAGTGATTCCCTATGGTGAAATATAGATGGTGCCGGACCGGAAGTACATCACCACGCCGCTATGTCTACGCGTTACGCCACGCTTCACACAGCTTCGTCAGGATCCTGACGAAGCTGCGTGAAGAGTGGCGTAACGCGTAGATATAGCGATTTGGTGACGTACTTCCGGTCCGGTGCCATCTTGGCACTCCAGAGACCCAGCAGTACACCCATGGATAGTGACATTATTGCTCTGTAATTTTCAGGTAAACGTGAGTGTGCACTTGGCGTTTTTTTGCCTACAATAAATGTGATATACAGTAATACACTATGGTGGATCTCTTGTGTTCTTATTGCATGGTCCATAACCATATGAGTATATAAGCATATATATACTGGTGTCTGTCCGTGGAGGATAAGTGGAAGGAGGAGGAGAGAGTCTTTTGGAGCCAGTGGAGTTACTTCTAATTTGGATAACGAGTAGGATCTTGGAGTGATCCGAAAGGCTGTTTGGCCCCTGCGGGTCGCAGGAGGAAGGTGAGCGGGCACGTCAGCCATTGTAGGATTCTCACCCATCACCAGCACTGACAAGTTGTGCATGCTGTTTGAGTTTCACATGGTCAAAACTGCTCTCTTTTTGTGGACATTTATTACCATATACTATGTGTGTGTGTTGAAAGCACTAAATATTGAAGTTATTATCTGCACTTATACTATAATCACTTGCATAGTGATGTATATTTCACCATAGGGAATCACTGAGTGTCATAATCACCTAATATCTATGCTTGTTTTACGTTACATTGCATAAGTATTTTTTATCTGGTTCACAATAAGGTTATGCACTTTGGATATGTGTTTATAGGTCTCAGCAGCGCTACATCATGTATATATTGATTTGGTAATTCAACATAATATAGGAAAAAAAAGAGAAAAGAAAAAGAAAATAAAACAAAAGGGGATCCAAAAAAAACATGAAAGAAGGGAAACTAGAGGGATCACAGATCCTGGGCTAGCACAGGCAGTGACAACAGGAGGCCATAACTAGTAGGAGGCAGGGATGGTAAGGAATAACGTATCCAAGGTTCCCAAACCTTAAGGAATCTCAGATGAGAATCATGAAGAATGCTAAACATCTGTTCATTGAACAACATAGCATTCATCCGGTTCCACATCCCCTGGAAGACTACCGAAGGGGTTCTCCAAGAAAAGCGAGGACTTTTAAAATGCACTTCTAATTCTTGCTTAGATTATATGTGTTTTTATTAACATTTAACTTGTTACCTCATTGGCATGATCCACGTAATATTTAATTTCATCACCCATGCCACTTATTCTGTTCCCATGTTTCAACGGTAAAGCCTCCTGCGCAGCTGTTTCTAATTTACTATAATGAGCTGCTGCCGACACCCAATCCTCTCCTTCTTAGATGGATTAATAATGAATCAATATATACATGGTGTAGCGCTGCGGAGACTTATAAACACATATCCAAAGTGCATAACCTTATTGTGAACCAGATAAAAAATACTTATGCAATGTAACGTAAAACAAGCATAGATATTAGGTGATTATGACACTTTTTTTATTAACATTTAACTTGTTACCTCATTGGCATGATCCACGTAATATTTAATTTCATCACCCATGCCACTTATTCTGTTCCCATGTTTCAGCGTGTGGGACTTCCCAGATTTTTCAATTATCCGAATGAACTCTGCTGTTTTTTGGATTTTAGCTCCTAACAAATATGAAATACAACATAGATGTTACAATACTTAAAATAACAGTTAACTTCAGTAATTAAGAAGATGCATTTCATATTAGCAGTGTTCTAAAATTCTAAAAATTAGAAAGACACACTTCTCTTCTGCATCCTCTTATACTGAAGCTCCATTGTTTTTTGATCCAATGAGAAAGTATGTTGTGTTATAGAGTTACTGTCTGCCTTATTCACATTGTCGAACCCTTCCCTTTGTACTTTGTTGAATCTATTTTCCTTCTGCAGAACTCACCATCATAGAAGCAGGCTTCTAAATCAGCATTCGGAGAGTTCTCCATTAACATACATTTTGCATATCTACTATAGTAGGTCACTTTTGGAGTTTTGGATCGGACAAGTTCTGTGAATTTCGATGCGTACTGGTATTTCTTCCAATATTTTTCTTGGGAGGAAAAAAAAAAAAAACAACAAAAATTAAAAACACAAGGTAAATAAGAGGGAGCAAGCAAATGTTGAGTGACATCCACAAGAAAAATGAACTACAATTATCAGTTTGATACAAAATGCCTTTTATAGGCCTGGACAAAATAAAGACCCACAGTGAGTCTCATAACAGTTTTTTGGGAGGAGCAGTCAGTGTTGCTCTTCAGAGTCAGAATTTATCATGCATTAGTCAAATGAAGGCTATATTTTACTATAGGTCACGGACAGTTGTTCCTTCAGAAAAGGACAAAGGGCCCTGTGGGAGCCAAATCATCACTTCCAGGACTCTTCCTATTTACACTGAAGATGGTTCTTAATGACATTGGTTTGGGTCATTGTCCTGCTGCAGAATACATTTGGGCCAATCACATTCCTCCCTGATAGTATGGCATGATGGAGATGTATCTGCCTGTATTTCCTCACATTGAGGACACCATTAATCCTGACCAAATCTCCAAGTCCATTTGCAGAAATGCAAGGAACTTGCAAAGAACCTCCAATATTCTTCACTGTTGACTGCACACTCATTGTACTGTTCTCCAGTCCTTCATGAACAAACTGCCTTTAGCTACAGCAAAAGATTTTGAGTTTTGATTCATCAGTCAAGACCACCTGCTGCCATTTTTTTTTCACCCCCAGTTCCTATGGTTTCCTGTATAATTGAGTCATTTAGCCTTGTTTCCATGTCCTATGCAAGAAAACACAGGAACTGGGGTGCACAAAAATGGCAGCAGGTGCTCTGGACTGATGTGTAAAAATTTGAAATATTTGGCTGTAAAATAATAAAAAGGCAGTTTGTTCACAAAGGGCTAGAAAGCAGTACAATTTTGACTGCCAGACATTGAGTCTGTCTGGGATTACATGGAGACAGAAGGATTTGAGGCAGCTCCGAAGATCTGTGGTGAGTTGTCCAAGATATTTGAAACAACCTACCTGCTGAGTTCCTTCAAAAACTGTGTGCATGTGTACCTAGAAGAATTGATGCTGTTTTGGAGGCAAAGGGTAGTCACACCAAATATTGATTTGGATTTCTCTTCTGTTCATTTACTTTCCTTTTTGTTAACTAATAAAAATAAACTATTAACACTTCTATTTCTGAAAGCTTTCTTAATTTACAGCATTTTTTTTACACCGGCCTAAAACTCTTGCAGAGTACTGTATATCCTATACAAAATCATTATAGTTTCTGTTAAAGGGGTTCAAATATAGCAAATAATATGATTATCTGTATTATACCTGGTAAGCTGTCAAAAGTGTAACTCGGCATGCCTTCTGGGGGAGACGGAGGCCTGTCATCCAGAGGAAACCCTTTGCCTTCATTTGGATGATACACATATATCTAAAGAGGAAACACGTGGTCATATCATGAGATTAAAACAAAACTAAATTAGATATTGCACCAAGCTGTTATGCCAAAATAGACATTATGTTGCAAAATGTAAAATCTTAAGATCTTTATAATGGCATGGTGTACAGACCCATAGAGCAGTGGCACATCAGCTTTCCTAAAGGCTAAGTTCACCTTTTAAGGAAAAAAAAAAAAATGAAATGCACATCTTTTTTGCAGGCAAAAAAAAAACATTTTTTTTCCCTTAATTAGGAACTTGTAAAGCATTGCACCCGCTATTAGCACATTGCTTGTGCAATGTCAGGCTCCTGCAGACTGTCAGTGTAGCGGTCTGCCCATACCTCAGGGAAGCAGGCAATTACTGAATTGCAGAAGACTCAATGAACTACTAGAGCGCTCATCAGTGCCCTCATAGTTGATTGAGAACTACAAGCTGGCAGCCACAATGGTTGACAGCAGTTGTAATTCATTAATTCCCAAAAATCTGTAAATGAATGACGCAGCTGGGTGGATCGCACTCTTTTTAAATTTTGACAGCATGTGCGGGGAGAAAATCCCCTCGCCCACTATCACAAAGGGGGCTCAGAGAAATGCTAATTGAATAACATGTTACACCCTGAATACGGGTGAAACATATTGTAAAAGGTGAACTTATCCTTTTAAAGTAATATGAGTAAAGTGCACTGCAAACTTAAAAGCATTTTTGGACAGAGCTCTGGATAGAGAAAAAGCTCCCTTCTGTGTTGGCCCACATTGACTAGAATGGAGCTGTATACTAAGGATCTACAGCCATCTATGTTCCGCTGTATACTAAGGATCTACAGCCATCTATGTTCCGCTGTATACTATACTAAGGATCTACAGCCATCTATGTTCCGCTGTATACTAAAGGATCTACAGCCATCTATGTTCCGCTGTATACTAAGGATCTTCAGCCATCTATGTTCCGCTGTATACTAAGGATCTACTAGCCAGCTATGTTCCGCTGTATACTAAGGATCTAAAGCCATCTATGTTCCGCTGTATACTAAGGGTCTACAGCCATCTATGTTCCGCCGTATACTAAGGATCTACAGCCATCTATGTTCCGCCGTATACTAAGAATCTACAGCCATCTATGTTCCGCCGTATACTAAGGATCTACAGCCATCTATGTTCCGCCGTATACTAAGGATCTACAGCCATCTATGTTCCGCTGTATACTAAGGATCTACAGCCATGTATACTCTATGTTCTATGTTCCGCTGTATACTAAGGATCTTCAGCCATCTATGTTCCGCTGTATACTAAGGATCTACAAGCCATCTATGTTCCGCTGTATACTAAGAATCTACAGCCATCTATGTTAAAGCCATCTATGCCGTATACTAAGGATCTACAGCCATCTATGTTCCGCTGTATACTAAGGATCGAAGGATCTACAGCCAGCCATCTATGTTCCCATCTATGTTCCGCCGTATACTATTCAAGTCAACGAGGACTGAAAAGATCTTGTCAGAAAAGGATCTACAGCTGTAAACAACTCTAAGCCGTATACGAAGGATTGTATTATGTGGAAGTGTATACGAACAGCCCATTCAAGTCAACGAGGACTGAAAGATTTGTCAGGGGCTTTAGCAAAAGTTTTTATTAAAAATGTACACCTGTCCCTAAATAGAATGGGGGAATTTACAGCTGTAAACACAGATATTGATACCAAAAAAAGGAAAAAAAAAAAAAACCCCACAGTTGGTTGACTTGTGTTGAAGAAGAGAAGCACTTACTAAATCGCCATCACACGATATCCTCAGCACCTCTTTAACTCGTTCTTGAGAATTCTGCTCTTTTAAAAATTCCATGCAAACCTCCCCAGTGTCAAGAACGCTTACCTATATAATGAAGAAAGAAAAGCATATAAACATGAAATAGCACTATAGCTACCAAAACAGCGACATATCAACAGGTGGTGGAATTTAGACACTGTTTGGGCCATGTCAGATGGGCAGTTCTGCCCCCAGTAACATCCAGTTTAAAGGGTAACGCCACTTTCAGAGGGGGAAAAAAAAATATAGCATATGCAATTGCTACACAAGCAATGTTGTAATTTTATATTAAAAAATTACCATTCCTGTACAATGTGCATTTGCTGCAAAATGGCAACCGTGAGGTGAATAGAATGCCCCCCAGAAATGTAATTTCCTGCTTGTGCCGTTAGCTCATCAATTTTCCTAGAAACCTAAGATACAAGTCAAAGAATTTGAGTTTTGCTGAGATACTCCCGCCAAGGATTAAATACTTCAGCAGGGATGCAGACCCTGCAGCTAACACAGCGTGTATGAGGTGATTATAATGAACCAGATCCTCCCATTCATATTCTGTCTCCAAAGGACATAGCCTTTTCTTCAGAGCAGAAACAGGTAGGACTGTGCTACTAAATTATAAAGTTTGTTAAAAACCCTGTAATGTACATTGATCACCTGGAGGAGATTGTTTTTTTTTTTTTTCAACAAAAAGTGGAGTTACTCTTTAACCACCTCTTCCACATGAAAGCTGTTTGAATGGCTTTCTGGTTTATAAGATACAAGCATCAACAATGAGCTCATACATACCACTGCATTCTTTGTTTTTTGCCTGATGGGCTTTAGCCTCTCAGAGTTTAGTGGAGGAACGATACTTCTCAGGTTGTGGTAACCAGGAACTTGTGGGGGAATTCGACCTTTAAGATGCTGCTGATTTTCTTCTGCTTTACGCTGGCCAGCAGCTGGAAGTCTACTCAGTCCTTTCTGTACATTTTCATAAGAGTCAGTGGCCGTCTTCACTTTAACATCACTCCATTTGTATTGAGGAGCTTCTGGTTTCATGGCTGGTTGGCAATAGTAATTGGCACTGTTTTTTTTCCTGAGGTTTGTGTATCTGGCCTAAAAATAAATAAATAAATTCGGTATTAGGAACTGAAAAACACAAAAATGTTTCTCCCAGACAAACTGCATTAAAGCCCAACATCAGGAAAAGTGCTTCCTTGCAGTGGGGCTGCACCTGCACAGGATGGGAAATGCATTTCTATTTATCTGATTCTCCAATACAAGACTCCCCTACACTCTGGACTTTACTTTGGCATCATCATGTCCAATGCAGGACTATGGCCCTTGAATCAATCTTGATGATGTTAGGGGCATCTGAACACTGAAGTGCAGGAGCATAGAAGCTGCAGGGTCTAGTCTAGCAGAGGAATATGTGGCAGCAGAGGATTGGGTACGTAATACTGCTGTACCTGGTCCCCCTAAACATAAAACCAGTAATTAACCCTTGCAAGGAAAAAGGTTTGCTTTCCCAAGCGCTCAGCTTTAAATTAACCTAATAAAAATGATAAGATACTGTATATGCTTTCCTCTGGATCAACTGTGGGTATAGGATTATAACTTTTTTTTCCCCCTATGGTTGAACCGGATGGACCTTTGTCTATTTTCAGCTAGACTAACTATGTAACTACATATCAGACATATAAATACTGCAGTAGTCAACAACCATGTATATATTTTTTTTTTCTTAAAACCTACCGTTTAGTTGCATCGCTCCAAACCATTGCTGTATAGTTTCAGTCTGGCACCTCTCATCAGACCTTGCAGCAGTTGGCTTTGGAAGACAGAAGTATTCAGAACTGAAGCCAAATAAAAACAAGGTTATAACCTCACGTGACAACTTGATATCAGGATGCAAAAGGTAGTCACATTTGAAGGGTTGCACAGTCTTAATTATATCCCTTTGATGTGTTCCTATACACCGTGTTCCTACACCGTGTTCCTACACCGTGTTCCTACACTCAGCATTTTTCTCGTTATTGGACTTTTGCTGAAGGGGACATCCAAACTTAATGCAGTTCCCTTGGGTCTTGCACACAAAGGACACAAGGTATACTTAAAATTTCACAGATATTAGTTTTGTATTGTGCAGAAAGAGAACCAGTCACCAATGGGCATGTATTTTGAAAAACCCACTTATGAATATAGTAGTGCAGCCTTAAACTATTTTCAGAATTACATGAAAGAAAGCTAAAGACTTTGAAAACTGAGGGTTTACTCTCCTCTAGCACCCTGCCCAGTGTGTCAGCTTTGGACTCTGAGCTCAGGGAGGATAGACAGTTTATCCTCTATGTGGGGGCCTTAGGGTGCACCCACACTTGGTATGGCTGAACTGAACCATGCCCAAGTTTGATTATCCTCCTGCTGGTCTGCACTCACACTGAGCAATAACTGTTCTACTATAATAAGTGTTCTCATACAAACTTCCATCACCTCTACCATCCTGACACCACAGTGATTTCTGCGTCTGTGAATAGTGTTCTATGGAGAGTTCTGTGCTCAGGCACAGTTTGCACATACACAGAAACTATCTGTACTGGACTACCTCTTCCAAGTGGTGGTATGCTTAACCAACCCGTTCATTTGTACACTCACACTACACAAACAAAATGGACCAGGTGGGTGAACGGTAAATAGTAAAACTGCCATTCTGCGTGCACCCTTACAGCCCAACACTGGACTGACATCTCTGCTCTAATAACTAGAGAGCACAACCGAAAAGGACAACACCAACTTCCAGAGAGGTAAGGTTCAAAATAAAAAAAAAGTGGAAATTTAAATTAGAAACATAGAAAAGTGACAGCAGAAAAAAAACAAGTAATTTTTTTTTTTTTACTTTTGGGGATTGAAACACGTTTGCAGAGTTTTGTCCCAAGCATGTTTGAATCCACTTACTGTTGACTGACTCACTACCTTTGCTTGAAATCTATCCCAAGCATCAACTACCCTTTCAGTAAAATACATTTTTCTAAAATTAGTTTTGAACTTTCCTTCTGCTAGTTTGAGGTCTCACCCTTGTGTCCCTCATCATAGCTTCTTATTGAAAATACTGCCCTCCTGATCCTTATTCACCCCCAAGATGTATTTAAAGTGATTGTAAAGTTTTTTTGTTTTTTTTTGGCTTATTTCCCCCAGACTGTACAAATGAAGTTCCTTAAGTCTCTGTTTTATCCCTCAGACCTTTCACCACTTTTGTTGCCTGTCTCTGGACCTGTCCTGTTTTATCAACATCATTTTGTAAATGACGTTGCCAGAACTGGACACTGTATTATTCTAAATGAAGTTTCACTAAAGATCTATATAGGTGAAACCAGACCTCCATCCTGCTGGTGATCCCTCTAGTGATGCATCCTCCAGGGATATCAACCCTATTGCACGCCTTTGTGTCATTAGCAAAAAGACACACCTTACCCACCAACCCATTCCTGAAATCACCTACAAAAAGATTACATAGAATAGGACCTAGTCCAGGGCCTTGTGGTATACCATTAGTGACTGGTCTCCTTTCTAAGTGAACCCCATTTACAACCACACTCTGGTATCTATGCTTTAGCCAACTGCATACCCACTGAACGACCCAAGGGTTAAGCACTTAAGTAAACAGCTTGTAGAGCAGTTTTGCAAATTTCCTTTTCTGGACTGATTCCCTTTAAAGTTTTGGATAGAGTGGCGAATCCCTCTCAAGACTCCATTGCAGATGCTCACTGTCCCAATCAGGGGCGGACTGAAAACTCATGGGGCCCCTGGGCAATAGGGGATCATGGGGCTCGTGTCCTTGCCCAAACTCAAAAAAGCCTATGAAAAAAAAGGTACCGGGGCATCTCATGGGGCCCCCTACTGACCCCAAGCCCTCGGGCAGTGCCCGAGTTTCCAAATGATCAGTCCGCCCCTGGTCCCAATTACAATGGTTTCATCCGACAGTGAGAGGAAACTCTCCAACACCAATACAAACAAATATTACTTTCTTTTTTAGTAGAGTGGGGGAAGGTTATAATCCCTGTCAATTATTACTATTAGTTTTCATTAAAGGTATACTTCTAGGCATGCTGTCATCACCATAGAACCTTTATACAAAACAAGCAACTTCATACACAGTTTTGTTTCATTTCTACATCAACCACATAAAAACTATGTAACTTATTCTATTTTTTTGATCACAAGACAAAAAAAAAAAAAAAAAAAAAAAATCAGCTGTAGACAGGAAAAGAATATACAAAAACGCTTTTGTAAATATACATAGGTAACTAAGGATTTAGTCAGTCCATTCTAACAGGCTCTAGGCTTTACTTTACTCCCTCCACAACCTTGAGCCTGGGTTCACATATATGCGGTGTGGTATATCACATGTGATTTGCACAAGAACCGCACCGCATTCCTGTGCAAATCACATGCGATTTGTGTGTGGTGCGATTGGAGCCATACATTTTGTATGGCTCTAATCACACCGCTCCTGCACCAAAAAGGTGCAGGACCCTTTTTTGGGACCGCACTAGAATCAGATCGCATGGGTATTCACACCTATGTGATCCGATTCTGCACATCGCACCGCATTTTGCGCACCACTTTTGGGGGGGGGGCGATTATTAATTTAATATACACACCCGCAGTGGTTCACACAAACGGGGTGCGATTCTGATGCAGTGCGGATTTCGCACTGAAAACACTGCAAATTCCGCACCGAATCAGTGTGAGCCAGGGCTCAGAGTACTTGAGTGTTATTACAACTGACCACGTTCTACCAACCTATCCAGCCAGCATCCAATTAAGACATTAGCTTCTCCAAATGCCCACACAATCAGTTTCACCATACATGTTAAATGTATTTCCCACTGGCTGCTAAACATGAGTATATACTGTACATTTAGCCAAAAGAAAAGCATGAACAAAAATCCTGATCCTTGTACAGGGTCACCAATGGGAAGGGTGTATCCTACCCAGTGAGACATCCTTCACAATTGAAAATTGCCTCCCTGTAATCATAAATGAACTAAGCACCAGCAGAATTTTACTTGCATTGCCTTCCTGGCTAACGATCATGACATAAAAATAGGAATATTCATATTACCCCTAGTGTAGAGCAATTTACATCCATCTTGCAAGTAGACATCAAAACTGATGGTGACTTTTGCCTATGTCCTGGATTTTATATTGACACACAACCTGAACAGTATAATGCACAGTGATGTAACAGAATCGTTACCAAATTACCCCTGGGCTTTGGCAGCCATCTGTAGAAGACAGCATAATCCCTAGAGGGTAATTAGAAGGTAACTGAAATCAGCTTATATAGCTTCTGTGTTGCAAGTGTATTACAGCTGCACAAATTAATGAACTAATTTCAAATCGAAATTCTCAACTATATCTACAGTCTAGCTAATGCATTATAACCACGCTGCTATTCAAAAATATGAATTACCAGGAATAGAGCAGGTACATTAAGCAGCCACTAGTACATACCTAAGTATTCTGCTCTAGTAATATGTATTTTACTTACGGGTGATTTCTCCTTCACTGGTGGTGAGGTATGTCTGTCCAAGGAACCATGCTTTGCATTGTCTGAGAACATATGAGGAATATCTCCATAACTGTTTCCGGGAGATGAAGCAGAGGTCCTGTAACCAGTCAGCAGACCAGGTTTGCTCAGATTCTCCACAGAATGACACCTATCTGTGAAGCTTCCTTCCCGGTTTACTATGATTCTGGCTGTTTGAGGTACCCGTTCTATCAGAAGAGTGAGCTCTGCGGAGGTAGCGAGAGTGTGGCCTATCTTCAATGAACGGCTTTTCTTCCCCTTCCCTCAGAGAGATCATATTCCTCTCTCTCTCTGGCGGTTATGGAAGCTCCCTCCATCTCCAGTCAAAACATTACTTGGTTCCCTGTCCTTGAACTGGAAGATGTTCATTTTGTTTGGGAGTGAAGGCCCAGATAAAATCCTCTTTTCTGGTAGGCGCCCACTAACACTGACCCCAGAGGAACCTGTAAAGCCTGTAGAAATTGTAGCATGGCCACTATCAATGGAATCTTCAACTGCTGCCATATCGGTACATGTGGCAGAATACCCCGTCATAAATGAATGGTCCAGCACAGAAGACAGACTTAACCTGTCTGCAGGATTTTTACGTAACAGCTGAAAAATTAAGTCCTTTGCCTCTCTTGACACAAAACTGGGCATATCATAATCTGCCAAAACTATTTTATTTAAAGTGTTCTTTACTGTGTCCGTGTCAAAAGGAGGTTGACCCACAAGGAAGTGTACAACATGCAGCCCAAGGACCAGACATCCGATTCCAGGCCATGAGCGCTCCTGGTAGCAATTTCTGGGGCAATGTAGTTAGGTGTGCCACACATTGTAAAGTGTTTCTCATTTGGCAACTTCAATTGGGCTGCTAAGCCAAAGTCTGCAATCTTGATGTTCATATCACTGGAGAGCAGAAGATTAGAAAGTGTGAGGTCTCTGTGTAGGATGCCATGGGAATGAAGGTACAGCATGCCTTTCACTATTTGCTCCATGAAATGCCGAGCTGTAGATTAAAAAAAAGAAAAAAGAAAAAGAAAAAAGGGATTTAAAACACCATTCCTTAAATTTGTAAGAGGAAATATATCAACAGTAGAATAACATCACTTTTACTATAAACCAAAAGAACAGAAATACAAATCCAACAATTGTTCTACCCGGAATATGCACTTTTCTTGTTCAAACTTTTTATTGATATTATAATATAGGAAGAAAGACATTAACAGTAGGCA